CGATCAGCTCCCCTTCCTAGATATACTTCTGAGTAGACGAGAAGATGGCTCAGTCAAGCGATCGATTTTTAGAAAACCAACGTGGACAGGTCAATACCTTAGTTATTATAGTTATTGCCCTGTGCAATGCAAACGTGGTTTGATAAGGTGTCTTTTCAACAGGCTTGATCGCATTTGTACAAATGATGCCATTGATGATGATGTTAAGTTGTTAAACAAAATATTAATAGAAAGTGGTTACCCCCTGAAATTCATAAATAGATGGAAAGTCCACGGTACAGTGAGACCTATTGTAGCCTCGGTGGAGAAAAAGCCTGTCTACATCACCTTACCATTCAGAGGTGATTCAAATAGTCTCTTATTGAAACAAAGACTTAAATCAGTCATCAGCAAAACGTACTGCGCAGCAAAGGTCATTGTCAAAGAAAGAACAAGGTGCATGTTTCATCCAAAACCTAAAAGACAGGAAAACGATTGTGTCACATCTCACTGTGTTTACCAATTTAAATGTGTGTGTGGTCACACATACATAGGGAGGAGCAATCGTAATCTTAACATTAGGGTGAGTGAACATGTACCCAAATGGCTGCAAAAACAAATACAATCAAGTGACCCAATAAGAGCAGAGGATAAACATCCATCATCCTCTATTGCTAAACATGTAGTTGAAACAGGGTACAAGATTGATCTAAACTCGGCTTTTGTGGTATTATATAAAAGTGTACAAGGGCGTATACTAAGGTTTATTGAAGCCTTAGCCATACGAAAATTCAAACCCATTTTGTGTATTCAAAAACAGTTTGTTCTTACCTTAAACCTACCCTGCTAATATTGACTTATTATCCAGAGGGATTAGGTTTTGAATAGTGTTCAGATTATTATTATTATTATTATTATTATCATCTCCTCTTACCTCATTTCCAGTCTAGTTGACCTTTATTTTTATATATAAATGCTCTTAACAAGTATATGTGTGATCAGATTGTTCGAAATGTATTGCGCTAATATATCACATAGTTCTGATAATCTCCGTCTTCTTATAACATTATCGAAATAGATATTAAGATAAAAAAAAGAGATGTTGATCGCTCACATAGAAATAGAACTGAATTCATCCGGTTATGTAGACTATGCATGTCATTAAAAGTAAACTAGAGAAAAAATTGGCAACTATTTCTCGAACCAGTTACAAATTTATAATTGCGATTGTGATTATTGTACCTGAAAGCTAATACACAAAGAGAAAACTGATTTGTATCTTAGTATTTCAATGAATTATTTTTAATATATATCGTTCATGCTTATAATAATTGTCATATGCTTTTAAACATGTGAATAAATCATTGTAATAAGATAATATAAAATGTGGTATATTTAATTTACTCTAAACATAATGAGTTAAATGTTGATGAATGAATAACAGTTTACATTTTCACAAATAATTAGTAATTTCAGTGAAAGAAGGTAATAATATTTATATTTGGGGAATATGTACACATAGTAATCCCTGATACAGTAGCAGTGTTTTTTATGTTTCATTTGCATAAAGTTGTTGTCAAGATATGAGGTATAGTTCTTTTTTTCGAGTATCATAGCCTGTATTTAAATAAATAGTTGTTGTGTAATTTCATGAATTTCTTAACATTAGAATTGTTCTCAGTTCTTTATTGTCTATTCTATACTGTTGACCAGTTAATAATCAATATAAGTAAAGTTATCTGTGTATGTGATAGTGTAAGTCATTTATTGTGATTGGAAAGTGTATTGTTCAGTTAATAAAGTGTTCACGTATACGTACATATGTATATTTTGCATAGTGTAAATAGAAAATGTTCTGTAAGTAAGTAGTGTAGTAAACGAGAACATCAGTGGGGATAATCAAATGTAGTTTAACACAACATAGAAGAATATCTTGGTAAAATCCGAGAACCATACAGTAAATACTTCGTTTGTGAAATGTCGATCAATTGTCTCAGACTTTACTGTTCTTTCATTTCCATACCAATCACTGACTATTCTCGTTATTTTCTCTTCAATTTTCTCAACCTTCTGTTTCCAGGCATTGAACTTTCAATTGATGATATATACTCCTTATATCCGTTGATATTAGTAGTATACACCGCAGTAGGACGAAATCATTATTTTAATTCCTCAAAGAAATTTCATAATGACAGCACAAACGTTCATAACTTTTTAAATATTAAATATTACATTTCATAAATTCATTACTATCTACTTTATTAGTTGAAATCATGAGTCGATTAAAGCTAGACCACCATGGAAAACCTGGAAACATTGGACGGCCGTTTCGTCTTAGTATGGGACTCCGTCCAGTGCTTCCAGGTTTTCCATGGTGTTCTAGCTTCAATTGACTGACGATTTCAACCAGCGAAATTTCTAAAATCTCCGCAAAACCCCCTTCTGATATCTACTATATATCATACAGCTTATCTTGATGTAATTTAACCAACTTATTAGTGAATTATGATGTACTTCATAGTTTTTTTCTTATTAACCACATCATATATTATTTTTATAATGATTTCATTTACTTGTTAAACACAACATATTCCCATTACTAAAAGACTAATAGTTGAACGAAGAATATTGTTTTCAGTAAATTCTCTTCAGGTTCTACGATTCATATATCCATATGACTCATATAGGATGTTAATTTGAATTAGCATATATGTTAAGTGGAAATTTAAGATCCATGATCCGAATAAATATGGGTCAGATAGGGTGAGAGAAATAATAGTACAATTAGAATTCGATCAAATGTGTCATGGAAGACCATATTATGTAGAAAATTATTAGTAAAACATGACAAGGTGGGATGAATGCGAAGTAAATATATTAGGGAGATTAATAATAATGTTTAACCAATAGTAATAATAATAATAACACAAAGATTTGTGAACAAAGATAACAGGGGTAATTACTTGGTTTAAGACTGCAGTTGATCAGTCTGTTATTGGCAGATGTACATACTGTGAGTATGCCTCGATATTGTCTTGATTCACAAGCTTTTATAAGCAAAGATGGATAGTGGCTAGCAGTGAACGAAACGCGCGTCCTGGATTCCACTGCTAGCCACTATCCATCTTTGCTTATAAAAAGGACAATTACATTTGAGAAGACTTTGCCGTATTGCAGAGAGTGCTGAAGAACCGTTAGCAAGGTGTGTGGTGAATCTTTCGAGGTCATTATTAGTATGACTGTGGATAGACATCTAAAGTCCTGCAAACTCCTGGCAGGTGCTATCATATCAGATACTAACCATCCCCTTCACTCATTTTTTCCCTATATATCCTCTAGTAGAACAAGACATAAATACATTAAAACCCATGCACGCAAGCAAAGGTATAAAAGTCATATAATACCTTACCCAGCAAATATACTCTGTAACGAACAGGTTGTTAAAGTTAATCTAGTCAATAACCTGTATTCTTAAACATATCTCTAATTTGAAAAGATGTACAGATTCAGATCTTTTTTTCACCTTTTTCTTTTTATGAAAGAAACTTGTTGAAGTACCTCTTGCTGACAATTCTATATTGTACCAAAATATAATATTGAATAAAGCCATTAATAATAATAATAATTAAGGTCGCAAGTACAATTGTCAAATCAGGTCATTCAATAGCTGAGATTATTATTGATTAATTGGTCTTGAGGTTGGCCAGGGGAGGAGAAGCATAGCTCAGGGTTCATCATCCGGATGGCTACTGCTTCAGCCGTTTGAAGGATTTTAAGTCTGACAAACTTTGGAAAAAAATGACTGACCCGATAAATAATTGAAAAGGATCGGTTTATACTGACACTATGATCAGTTTGCACTAAATAGGCCAATTCCGAGCTGTTCACTTTCTTCACCAGACCTTTGCTTAGCCATGCTGAAAGGTGTTCGCGAACACGAAACTGTAAATTCCTAGAACTTCGACCAATATATGAATACTTTTAATACATAACCTTCAAAAGCTCAACATTTAAGTTTGACATCAAATGTTCATTTTATGTTTTGTTTTGTTGATAAGACTATTAAATGTGAATAAGTTCAACTGTATGAATTGTTATTCGTTATTCAAGTTAACATGTACTCTTATTATACAGTTCAGTTTTCATTAGATGGTATAAACCACAAAAACTATCACTATGATATGAGCTATAAATATATTATTCTAACTATTTTCAAGTGATTATGAAGCATATTTACTAGGGCTTGACAAGAATTTGTTTGAGTGTTAGTTTAGTTGACCTTAACCAAAGAAATACATTTTGTCATAGTGAGCTTATCTTATTACATAATTTTTAAATTATGGTAAAATAATGCAACATAAATAACTAAAACTTAATCTTTAAGGTCAAGGAATATTTTAATTAGCATTGACTGTATTGTAATAAGTATGATCGGAGTTCACAAGCACTGATAAAGAGTATAATTATTATTTTGTGTAAATCAAAACTTTAATAGTTAAATTCATGAGTTCATCTAAGCTAGATCACCTTTGAACACCTGGAAGCAATGGATATCCGTTTCTTTCTAATATGATACTCCTCAAAATAAGCATGATCATATATACTAAGAGAACAAATATTTATCGATGAATGCAAGAATAAATTATCTTGAGCGCATATAATCGATGGTTGAAAATGGTAAGCTGAACGTATTTTTATGTTTTGATGCATAAATAATGCACCGTTTTGTTAATGCTTCACCTGTTCAAGTATAAAACTTAAGAAATGCATACTACGGGATAACTCTATGGTTATTATAGTGCTTTAGATGAAGGGGTTATGATGTACATGTTCCGAAAATCATGTCCAAATGATGCGAAGCATTAAGTACACGGACAGATTATAATAACATTTTGATGCATTTAACTACATTTTTATTCTACTTAGTAAGTACAGGCCATACAACTGACAGTAATTATTTAACGTTTCAGGTCCAGTCAAAACCGTCATCTTTCACCAACCATAAACAGTAAGCATAAACATGAGATATACTACTTATACATTTCACCACATGTTTTTTGTTAGGTAAAATATAAGTCCAACTTTTGTATAATCATTAACTGGTTGTTATGTAATAAAAAAATTCGACAAAATTATGAATAAACCGGAATCAAAATTTACATGTAAAATATCAAAACAAGAGAAGTCTTCATGTTCATCATTTTTGCTTCAGCGTTATCACAAGAATATCTTCAAGAATGGAATGTGATTGAAATATCTTCTTATTTTTCTATTATATATCCGGAATCTTGTATACTAGGAATATACGATCGTCTTTAATAAAACAAAAATTATAACCTGTTTCATGACAATAACGTGACCAGTATCGACCATAGATGATGATTACATTCCATAATTTTCCAAAATACTTATCCAATTCATCTTTCAAGAACTCAACTAATTTCTAAATCAAAATACAAAAATAAGTGAAACAGATCAAGGGATTGTTTTATGTTTGTAGTGCTACATTCTGTGTTATATGATTTAGCTGAGTAGCTTTTGTCATCATTCTAAACATAAATAACACCACTTATTACAAGCGAAATCAACGGTAAAAGATTAAGTCATCCAGTACAAGAGTCGAGGAAATTCTCTAGCGTTTTACAACGTATTACTGATAAACCTAAGGTTTCAGCTCAATCATCTGATAATTTAACATGATCACTCAAGTACAGTTACGGTAGAAACCCACTAATTTGTCATGATAATGTGGATGAATGAAATGATTTCAAACAGCTAATTTATCAAGGAATAGGTGAATAAATATAGTGCGTTTTGTTTCATTACGCATATTATAATTACAGGATTACTACTTCATCAAGTATTACATTTTATTACCTCAAACATATTTCCTAACCTCAATACATTTGATTTGGAACCTTTTGGAACTTATAAACAGTCTATTCAACAAGTACGATATTCGATATACCAATTGCTGGTAATCTGTGTGTCGCACATCATGCGTTTTCATCTGAAGGGCAAACAGTAGATGCTGGCTCCTACTTAGAAATTCTTAGACACTTTAAGGATCCTGTGAAATGTGTGCTATACTGATGGAATGTTGATGTATCGTTATAATGTTGGTACATTTAGTGTCCGCAAAGTTCTGACTTGTAATTCCATCGTCATGTATGATCATCTTCTGTGCTAACCAGACTTATTTCATTTTAATTTCTAAAATCCTCAACCATCGTTCAAGAAACAATGATGTACCTGAGAGGACTGACATTTGAAGATTTCCAAAGATGTTTCAATCAATATAAATGAAGATTTAACATGCGATTATGACTTTTAATGTGTTTGTTTGAAAAACCGTAACAATATATGTTTGAATACAGTAGGGAATTATCATCTCAAAGCGTGGAATGTTATTACAAGTTCTTCTCTAAATTTTATATATCTTAATAGTAGCAGTTCTCAGAAACGTATATGAAAGAAAACCTATATCTGCCATTCATATTCAACCGCAAATTTGTTTCGGCAAATTCTGAGTATTCAATGTTTTTGAATAATGAAATATATGTATACACTAAATGAGATAATAGAGCATATCACTAGTTAGATATATGTACGTCAATATAAGTATAATTTTTTCTTGTTCCGCTACGAACTAAAGAAGTAAGAAACTATTTCAACAACAAAAGCGTTATCGTCTTAGTTTGCATTATTTAGTATGACGATAGTTTGTAAGATTTTCGTTGAAGCTTATCATTAATTAATGCAATCAACAGATTCAGCTTATTAATTTTAAGAAACTGCAAAACCAGAAAAAAATTGTGACATTTGAATGAATTGAAAAGAAGCAGCCGGAATATTTGGGCAAGTCACTAAAAATATAATGGATTTGTGTAAATAAGACAGATTAATACAATATAATCCAAGATTAAAAGATAATGGGTTACTATGGTTATTCGCGTTTTTCAATTTGAGGTGTTTAAGATTTAAATTTTCTTCCATTGCTTACAATGGATGTTGTACATAATATAGTCAATCTTTAATGTTATTAAATTCATCGGTTAACACATAAACCGACTAATCACATAATTAAGTATCAAAAGGGGTTTTGTGGAGTTTGTAGTAATTTCAATAGTTGAGATCATGAGTCAATTGAAGCTAGACCACCATGAAAAACCTGGTAGCCCTGAAAGACCATTTCGTCCTATTTTGGGACTCCTCAGCATTGTGCATCCAATCCCCCGATTCGCGGGATTCGAACCCAGGATCTATCAGTCTCGCGCGCGAGCGCTTAACCACTAGACCACTGAGCTGGTATCCAACGGTGTTAATGTCTTACTTCAACTAATCCACGAAGAGTTACTTCAGAGTCATCACAGTTTATATATTACCCAAACTCGTATCGTCACCACTAAATGAATATATATATATATATATTTCTTCGAGGTTAGTTTCCGTCCTCTGGTTACATCAGTTGGAGATCTATTAAAAACATCTGTTTCGTCCTGATTGTTAATTCTACAATAGTGTGTACCCAAAACCTCACACAGGATTGAATTCCATACATCGAATTCTTGAAGCAGGCATGACAACATTGTACCACTTATGTGGAATTCAGTGGTTCATACTTTTAACTTCATTCTCTTCTCGAAGTAGCGTGAGCAGTATGTTATGACATAGGAAATATCTGTTTTAATATAGATACAATTAAATTTCACAGATTATATCTTATGAATAAAACGTGTATAAACCGTCTCGAATGCCTTCATTATTAAGTGATCGATTGTTACTTAGGTAGATAGTTTGTGGTGGCGTGATTGGCCAACCAGGGTGCTGTGTACCTGTGTGGTTGCGCAACAGGATTGAGCTGTTCTATTCAGATTGTAGCGCTAAAGTCTATATGGTATCTGGTTCTCTTGCGAAACGGGACTGTGTTGTACTGTTTGAGTTATCACATGAAAGTCTGTATGGTGTCTGATTCTCCTGAAAACCAATGTAAAATTGCTCTAGCCCACAAAGGTATATTATATCAGTATGTGAATAGTTTGTGGTGATTTTCTTATTTTAAAAATAGTTCAAAGAGGTAACAAATTTAAATCTCAACGATTGTATTGATTTATTGATCTGTGCTCTACTGCAATAACATTGGTTACATTCATCATGTTCATTGATGGAACAGTTCACAATAGTATTAATTTTTAAAGCTTTTATGAAATAAACAGACGAAAACATTGTCGCTAACATAGAATAATGTCAGAAAATTGGAACACTAATATCATCAATAAATTATTGAAAATGTATTTGAAAAATATTCAAAACAATACAAATCACGCATAAATGATACTCATGAAGTGTATGTCTTACCAAATCATCATGATAAATCAATATCCCTTCATCAATTAGTCCACATATAGTCAATTTCATTTTTGTATTCATATCCGATTGAATAACATGTACATCTTGCATTTCGTTTCCTTGAATAGCAGTTTGAACATTTCTATTAAATGAAATTATTACAGTTGATGAATTCATATGTAGTTGTATCAACTTACATAACTTCTTCTTGTAAACCTAATACTTCACAGAATTTTTCCAACGTTATACGACCAGTAGATTCAGGATCAAATAGAGTTTTCCAACGCTATGAAAGAAAACAATTTCAAGGATTTAAATTATAGTTGAGGATTATAATGATATTTGAAGAATTGAATAAGCTAATATCAGACTACATGATAGTAATATTTCTTATGTGTAAAAATTGCTAAAATGTTCTTGGTTTTTAAAGGTTTTCTAACTGAGGTTATTCTGTAATATAAACTATACAAACGAACCTGTTACTAAATCAGTGTACACGCGTTTCAGAGAAAAATTTGGCTTACTTCAAACATTTTTTCATCCACATCATTCTCTTCCATATACTTTCGTAACTCTGGCATAGTAATCCAACCTAAAGTAAATCAATTAAGAAATTATTAAATCCTTCTAGAAAGTAAAGTTCATATACATATCAAATGTTTTTGTCTTAAAATGCTTCTTTTTATACTTAAACAAACTGTTATAATTATGCTACTTATGTTCACCAGAGAGTGGATGTGAGAAAGGATAACTAGAACTTATTGGTCTTCTGTCTAATGGCATCGACATATTACTGTTTACGAACTAATATCACCTTCGCCAAGCACTCATTGTTGTAGATCAAGTTAGGAATGATCATTACCATGAAATCATTGTCCATGAAGTTTGCTAACTTGACTCCCACCATTATACATGAAATAACAGTATAAGCTATGTAGAATCATTTAGACTAGTGACCAAAGTACAACTTTATCGATATAATTTGATCTGGATCAAGAACTAGGCAAGTATGACACTGTTTTCAATATTCAGTGATGAATCCAACAAGTTATCAACAGAAGCTCAAATCATTCCGTTTTAGCATTTTTGATTGCTACATTGAGTGATTTGTTCTCAGTTTACTTGGAGAAAACTAATTCCTGAATGATTACAACCAACTGTACTAATATTTCTAAATTTAGCTAAATTGATATTACGTTATTCAATTTATTTCGGGTCGAATACTTGAGAATATATATATATATATATATATATATATATATATATATATATATATATATATATATATATATAATGCTCAACTTGGCCAGGTTTTAGGATTCCGTCTGTTAGATTAATATACGTGTATAAAAATAAAGAAGTTCCCCATTTTAATGAAGGAATGTTTGTGTAGTGCGTAAATCAATATATAATTGACTGAATGAACATTGAATTCAAATCACAAAACATATGTAGGGTCAGTAAAATGTCATTGAGCCATAGTTAAATCATTCGACAGTTGGGTCACTGAATGTCGTACAATTCACCGATCTCTGTCAAGGTCAAGGACAACCAACGTGTACAGTTAATCGTACACCATGAACTGACCCATGCGGTGGTATTCATACTTTCACTTATACCTACTTTAACTAATATATTTCTGTAATAACGTTCTATGTGTTGTACAGTCTTCAAAGAGTCCATTGTACCTTGATACGACGAAGAAGTAACTCATGTTAGATGCTGACGGTGAGGTGTGACTTCGACGCTAGCTGTTAGTCACACCATTCCCATCTAATTCACGTAGACCCCCATTCATTTGACACAGATCATCATCGTTGATGATCTACACATTGGAACACGATGATGAATCTTGTGAGTTAAATTCAGTAAATTAATTACTAACTGATAAAAATGTCAAAAATGATATTTAATTAAAAAAAATTTGTCATGAAATCGAATATCAACATACCTATAAACTACACATTATTCCTACATGTTTACGATAAATGATATTCTACTGTAAAGTGATGTTGAATTGTAGGCAATAATGAATAGAATGTGAAAATATTTTTTTTGGTAATTAGTTTTTCATTATAGCTCTATATAAATACGTATATGTTCAATAATAGTAATAGCAATACCGATGATAAAATCAATGCCAATCAAGTGATGAATGAAAGGGGTGTTACAAATCAATAATTAATCATTGACTAAATCATTATATAATGAAAATGATTGAGGTATATTGATAATATCAGAAGGGGTTTTGTGGAGATCATGAGTCATTTGAAGTTAGACGATATATATATATATATATATATATATATATATATATATATATATATATATATATAATAAATGAAGTTGAATGTTAACAACAATTGAGTAATAACAATGGAAAAGAAAGTGTAATTTAGATAAATGTGAAAACTAAAAAGGTCATAAAGGATCAAAAACATTGAATTTGTTAATATGGATGGTTATAACTTTTGATCAATGTAACAGATAGATATTTGAATCAAGAAGTAAACCAAATGGGATATTTCGATTAATTACAAAAGTTTCATTATTAGTCTAAACAACGTCATCAGTGTTTATCTTAAATAATTAAGTCACTCAACTGAAAAACAAACACAAAATAACTAAGAACTACAACTATTATCTATCATTTAAATAGGATTGATTAAATCCAAAGTCTGAATTTCGGTCGATTACACGACTGAAGTTAGTCAGTAAATAGCTCTTAATAGCTTTTTTTCCAGATATTTGATGATAGATTTTCCAGTACGTATGCTTTTCGTAACTAACTACACAAGACCGACAGAATTGGTATATCCCCCATGAAAAATAAGAGTTTAGTTAGTTTTTCCTTATTTCTGGTTGTTAGCATAAGATAAATGTCGAAATGAGTTTACAGATTGGATGCAGCAAATCATTTTTATGAAGCCTTTTTTCAATCGAATGAATTCCGAAATTGTGTATTATGGAAGTCTAAGTATTCAACTACGGACGTAACTATCACACACTATAAAATGAAAACTCCTTACAACACTTAGTTTTTTTGAATCAAAGTGCTCATTATCACGAATTTTGTATAAACACTTTTCTACCTTTAGCTATGCCAGTTATTTTCTGATCTTCGTTATTCTAGAGAACTTCATAAAGCTTGATGATTGTGTGATCAAATGTTAAAGAAAGAATAAAAAAAATATTAAATCTGTTGTCAATAGATATATAAGTAGATAATTAACCAGCCATACTATTAGAATGACATTTCATGCGTTAAGTTTTGGGTACCAGGAGACTATTTTGTTGTGAAGCTCTTGCATAATTGTTGGCTAAAATATCAATATAGGTTTCCTAGTCAATTACGGGAATTAATGAATGCAACGATTATTATGTGTGGAACGATACAGGCTACTGAATAAAATTAAGTAATATCTGGAACACAAACTAAAGAACGATATGTCATCGGTATCGTAAAAGTATTCTAATCTTGTATGTATCTCATATCACTAGAAAGGGAAATTTATTTTGTTGACTTAAGAGTATTCCAACATGGAAACAATTGTTTTATTTTTGAACACTTTCATACAATTCACTTGTATCTTCCCATTGTTATTTATGTACATCCAGCTGACGAGTCCCAAATAGGACGAAACGCGCCTGATGGATTCCACTGCTACCCACTATCTATTTTTGCTTAAAAAGCTTGTGACTTAAGGTCATGTCGAGGCAAACCGCACAGGATGCACATATGCCAACATGGGATTGATCAATTGCAGTTCTAAATAACAATGGGAAGATGACAAGTAAGACAACACCAAGTGAATTTAAACTTTATCCCATTGCACAAGCAGGTGGCTGTCAGGACTCAATAGCTAAGTGGATAACGCGACGACGTTCGAAGAACACAAAACTAGTGCAAATTAAGGTTTTTATTAATCTTTCATAAATGCATTGACAGCTGTTTTAACGGCAGAAAAATGTTAATGACTATTAGAAATAGTGAATGGCAAGAAGCAAATGTAAACACAAAGACGATAGATGAGGATTTACTTGACACTTAAAATAGGTCAAAACTATACCTAAAATAATTTAAATTCCATTTCTTATCAACACTGATAAACAATCGAGTTCTCTTTCAATGGAACAATGAGAAGACGGAGTTGATTTGAAAAATGTGATGTATTTGTGCTATACATTTCAAACAATCTGGTCACACATATACTTGTCAGGGCATTTTATAGGAAAATTAATAAAGATCAATTAAACGAAAGTTCAAGTATAAAATTAACAAAGGAGAGAAACAATTTTACATCGTGTAGAAAAAATAAGATATTGTCGCGTTATCGTAGGCCGTAGAATGACTTAAGGATTACCAAGGTAAATTCAAGGTTACGATAAATTGTTTTTGTACACATAAGCGGGGTTTAAATTCACGAATGGCCAAGGCTTCAGTAAACTTGAGAATTTGACCTTGACAATTTCTATACAACGTTCTAAAAGCTGTATTAATGTCAATTTGGTGCCCCGTTTCAATTATATGTTTCGCTATCGATGAACCTGGTTTTCTACCTCCCACATTGATCGGATCATTTGACACACGTTGATTTTAAAGCCATCTAGACACATGTTTAATGACCCTTGATTGCATTTTCCGATTACTGCTTCCTATGTATGTGTGTCCACACAAACATGCAAACTGGTAAATACAATGGGATGTGACGTAATCATTAATGCATTGTCTAGGTCTAGTTGGAATCATGGGCTTAGACTTTTCAATCACAAGCAATTGAGCAACATAATAGGTTTTCTCGATGGCTGCTTTCAGTCACTGTCTTAAAACTATACTGTTGGATTCACCTCTATACGGTAGATGGATATAAACTTTTTTCTTTGGAACCGAATAAACAAGAGGTCTTGGCATTAACTGAATTTTGCACCTATTAATAAACTTTAGTGGATAACCACTTGCTATTAATGTGTCAGTCAGTATCTTTTCATCTTTTTCCACCGTGTCAGATGTACAAGTTCTTTGAGTCCTCTTAAAGAGACACTTAACCAAGCCTCGCTTGTGTTGCAAATGGACAAAAACTATGAGAATTTAAGTATTGTCCCGTCCAGGTTGGTTTTTTTTCAGTTAAACTAAGTAATACATGACACTAATTTGCTAAAAACGTACTTTGTAAACATAGATTTATAGTATCATGAAATTAATAATCTATAACCAACTAATGTTAGTAACAAAATTATCCTCTCTTAGATAAGGGTTATATATCATGAACAATTAGAAAATCTCATCAGTTTTGTAAGTCATTGATTCAACTTTAACCTACTATACTAGCTGAACAAAAGGACCTAAGATACACTCTTCACTTTATTTAGATATTATCAGAAGGGGTTTTGTGGAGATTTTAGAAATTTCACTAGTTGAAACCATTAGTCAATTGAAGCTAGACCATCATGGAAAACTTGGAAGCACTGGACGGCCGTTTTGTCCTATTATGGGACTCCTTAGAAGTGCGCATCTACTATCCCGATTCTAAAATCTCCAAAAATCCCCTTCTGATAATAATCATCTGCTCACTAGTCACTGACTTCAAGAGGCATTTCCTGCAGTTCTAGTGAGAATCATTGACCAGGGGAGTTCAACCTGGTCAGTTGTGAGATATCAGCTTACTGACGACAATGATATATGGTGGCGCCATTTCGTAGATTGGTTGAAGTTAGACTTTAAAACCGTTGGATTCCGACCGACTCAGTGGTTTAATGGTTAAGCGCTCGCGCACGAGACTGATAGATCCTGGGTTCGATTCTCGCGGGTGGCGGTATCGTGGATGTACACTCCTGAGGAGTCTCACAATAGGACGAAACGGCAGTCCAGTGCTTTCAGGTTTTCCATGGTGATCTAACCTTAATTGACTCATGATTTCAACTAATGAAATTATTTAGATATATCTGTATTTTAGTTTTGATAATCATACTGTAACTAAAACATACTACTTTCCACTTTAAACATATCATTACTATTGACCCTTTTTCTTTAAAAAAAACAAAAAGAAAACTAAGTATTATAAAGGATACACATCTGTACATAATTAATTCAATGTAAAATTACCCCTATATATAAAAGAAATAATTTTTAAAATAATTTATTCAATATAACTTGAACTTACCTTTTTTTCTTTTATCAACCATGAAATAGATTTCAGTAAATCCATCCATTTTATGAATTGTTTGCATTTTTGTTGTTGTTGTCTGTTATTATAATCCTTTTTTTTTTAAATGTTTGATTAAATTAAAATTTATTTGTATAAGAAATTAGTAACTAAGGTTTTGATTAAGTTATTTAACATATTTGTATTTATTATAATGATGAGAAATAACCAATAAGATTCATTGTAGCTAAGTAACTAACTGTGTGCATATAAATTAAGAAATTAAATCAATGGAAAAACTTAATTAGACATTTGTAACTGTGAGCACGCACGCACGCACACGCACAAAAAAGTACATTTAGGTAAACGTTAATAATGTTTATTTGGTTCTTTTTTTTAAAAAAAAGGGTGATAAGACAGTAAAAGAAAGTTAAAATGCTTGTGTTCTACAATAATTAATCATGGAATAACAACTATTGTCATATTGTTTTCGAGTGCTGATTATTTGTTTAACTTTATATATTTCTACGTACTAATTCTTTCTTCTTGTACTATATATCCATATATGCGATCTTTCTTTTACATATTACCACCATTGAATTAACTACTTCTGTGAATCCGGTGTTCATCTTACTGTGCTAATGAGGTATGGCAACTTGGACCGATGGATATATGTGCCTGGTCCTACGTCGTAGCTGAGTGACCGACTGACTTGATCAATTTTTAATTTACTCACTTGTTTAAATGACATAATGTCTCTTTCGATAATGTCTAATTGAAAAACTGGATAGTTTATAGTTAAGTCCTATAAGAAGTATCAGTCTCTTCATGAACATAGATATATTTTGGTAATAACTATCAATTATATTGAAATGATTGCCACTAAATACCTATGGTGTTTAGAAAGCTCTATTAAACAACAAAAGAAAACTATTATATTTTTTTTTATTCTGCTTAACCAAAATGAACTAGTATAAATACACTGAAGGTGTTACAGAGCAATAATTTATAAGACACAGTTTAAGTTTTCTTCTTGCAAACAATTCAATGACATTTACAATAATGATGATGATGATGATGATGATGATGATAACTATCATTCTGATTTTCACATTAATTAAATAAGTTAAGTATTTTAATTTACGACACTTTATGCTAAAGTCATTGACAGATAGATATTTAATAGTTGAATTGATGAGTCATTTGAAGCTAGACCGCCATGGAAAACGTGGAAGCACTGGATGGCCGTTTCGTCTTAGTATGGGACTGCAGAACAGTGTGCATCCAGGATCCCGCTCGTGGGATTCGAACCCAGGACGTACTGGTTTCGCGCGCTCGTCAGGAACCGTGACCAATGGAGTTCCACCAGGTCAATTGTGATATAGTAACTCGCTTTGAACAATGATGGATGGTGGCACAACTTCGTGAATTGGTTAAAGTTAGACATTGGCATCGTTAGATGCCGGTCCAGTGATCTAGAAGTTAAGCGTTCGTGCGCGAGACCAATGGGTCCCGGGTTCAAATCCCGTGAGCGGGATCCTGGGTGAGCGCTGTTGAGGAGTCCTATACTAGAACGAAACAGCAGTCCAATGCTTCCAGGTTTTCAATGGTGATCTAGCTCCAATTGACTCACAAAGTCAACCATTAAATTACTAAAATCTCCACAAAACCCCTTTCAGATGGATATATGTTTAGGAAGGAAATGATCAATGCTTTGCTGTAGGATCCTTGACATGTTATTCTGTTAGATTCAGTTGGTTAATGTACGGTGTTACCTATCGTAATATATTTCATGCTACAGTTTTAAATATTGTTTATTTTCATGTAGAACTTCTCGAGCCCCTTTAAAATTCATAATATTTTTTTGGTTGATCTCTAAATATCCTTACTTTTTGGAATTATACCTTGTCAGTTAGTTATGTCATACATTTAATCTGATATATCCATGCTATGGACAGATTATCAGGAATGGACTTACTGGTTAAATTGTAATAATGAGGTAGTGTTGAATAGTACAGATCTCTACTGATAAACAATTGTTTTCCTTAGTATTTTAGGTTTATTATGGCTATAGGAATGTCAGAAGATAACACTTGGTATAACACGTTGAAGAATAGTCGATTAGCAAAGATCCAGTCATTTGTACACATCTTTAAGCATCTGAAATTTAGAATGGGAAAAAGATTGATTTCTTGATACTGATTGATGCCATACCAGGACTCTTCATCATTATGATTCACTATCTGAAATAAAAGTTCTGATTCTTGGACTACTGGCATGAAACGTTTATATCTAAATAAATCATTTTCTATTAAGGACCTCTAAGACTCTAATAAATAATGAGTAAGCATTGAATAAGAAAGAAAAATGTATACAAATCAGGGTTCTGTAGAGAAATCTCACTTGATGTCTCAGTTGCTGCAAAGTATTACATTGGAACATGCCAACCTACATCCCAAATGTAATGGCGTTAAATAGTTATAAAAATAAGCTAGATAATAGTTGTACGGCACCTGAAGCCTAGTTTCATCAAGAGTTTTACTTACTGGATGATTTTATTATAAAGTAGAGAACCACCTCTGAGAACCTTATGACTCCACATTGATTATTTTAGATACGTACATGAACTCATAAAAAAGCTTAACTTCTGTATGGATAGTTTTAGCATACCCTTTAATGAACAGTGTTATCGAACTGTCGATTTTATCACTTACCGAATTCTCAAATTCTAACCAAAGAACTTTCACAAGACAAAATTATAAAATCAAATCTGTCATCTCTTTAAAGTATGCAAATTAGGATAGTATAACTAGGAATTATTTATCTGATAACATTTAGGTACCCAAACATAAATGAAGGTCTAAAAAGAAGCAAAGTAGATTATTTCTTATCCACTGTATTAACTGTTAAACTATTTTAGAAGTATACATGAAACTTTCGCTTGCACTACCTTGTTTCCAATAGTAATTTACCTAATTTAGTTGTACTGTCAAGTGGAATTGAAGTGAATTTTATCTCATTATTATTCAAACATAGTATATCGAAATTTTGTAATCTAAATTTAATCAAACCAAATTAGTCAAAACTAATAATTTAATGTAATGTTTCTCGGAAAAAAAAGTGAGAAATGATTCACTACACAATTAAGACTCTTGGTAAGAATTAGATTATAGGTGTTTTCAAAGTATTGCTCGTAAATCCTGGGACCATCGAGTAAGCAATGTAGTTGTTAGGAAGAGGGTACTAGGTAAGGATGACAAATCAATTGATGAAGTAGTGAAACTTCATCAGTTGAGATCACTGCGACACGTGTTACGTATGCCCAACTACCGACTGCTCCGACGTGTGATGTTTGATGGTGTAGGAGTAGGTTGGAAGAAAGCTAGGGGCGGTCAAACCAAAACATGGCACAAATCCATGAAGTCACTGACAAGTGGGCTGAGCCATGTTGGTAGATGTAGACTACCTTATTGAGATCCGCGAGATGATAGCAACGGAAGGTTAGAGACCCTGAATGACATGTCTCAAAATCGTTTGCAATGGCGCAGGTGCATCCACTCTTTGTGTTCTCGCAAATCCTAATCTTCTGAATTCTTCATATCCCTTTCTTTTATCCCTTTCCAAATTTATTCCACTGGATTATACTCCTCGAATAATATCTTCAAACCCTAATCTTTCTGATTACTGTTTATACTCTTACTACCTCTAGCACTATGGTATTTGAATCGACCATTGTATCTCTGTGCTAATGTGGTATGGCAACTCGAACTGATGTACGTATGTACGACGTTCTACGTTGTTACTGAATGACTGACTTCGTAAGAATTGCCTAATTTGTGCATTTACCTGTTCTGTATCTCTAAGATTCTGGAGTCTTATATATATATATATATATAATGAGGATAGTTGTCCTCAAAACTCTATCCATTTATTTATATATCATTGTTAATCTCTAAGGTATACGAATATATTTTTTCATCAAAGTTCATCCACCACTTTCATTAAATGCATAACATTAAATTCGATAAACTGTTAACACATAAGAATAATTACCATTTTGGTAATCATAATCATGTAAATCAGAAAACAAACTAATCATAATTTTTTGATTTAGATCATGAACCGACTGATGTTAGACCACCAATGAAAACCTGGAAGCACTGGATTGTGGATATGCACTGCTGAGGAGTCCCATAATAAGATGAAACAGCCGTCCAGTGCTTCTAGGTTCTCAATGGTTTTCTAACATCAGCTGATTCATGATCTCGATCAAAAAATTAATAATCTCTACAACCCCTATGCTGATAATCATAATTTACACAATTGAATAACATGCTACTCATACTACTCAAATGAAATGAATATTATGATTATTAATTTTTAGATTGATAAATATTGACGTAATTATTGTTTTTTTTTGTTGTTGTTAAATTCAGATATAAATGATTGACAAATATTAGTTGTTATAGACAGAACAAACTACGTAAATAGTTTTTAGTCTAAAGAAATGAATTCATTAAATGATAGATTATTCCTAGGGTTATATTCAATCCTTAACCCACGTGAATTACGCACTTATCAATAAGTTTAGTACTCATAAGATTGTTTAATAATAAACAAAATAATTTAACAATTACTTTGAAGATAATAATTAAATTGTGAAATTGTGATGAATGTTTTAAGTAATTTATCTTACCACATTGTAAAAGTATCAATTAAATGAAAATGTCACAAATTGATCACTGTTTTTTTTTGTATCCGCGGTGACAGTTTAAGACAACAATTAGTAAGCTTTATACTTAAATTAACTTATTCTTTTGTGATGGTATTTAATATTCACTAAAAGTAGACTTAAAAATGAATGTTTTGTTTTACTCGATATTTTTTTGTTAGATATATTTACAACTTAGTCAAAATTGGTTACCTCCCAAAGGTCTGAATTCCATCTGATTTATTTGAAATTTCAGAACAATTATCACTAGATTCCATGGTTACAATAGTTTTTCATCATTTATTAAATCAAGGCTGTTACTATCATGGCATATGGTTTATGTGTTGTTTATGAGTTTTCAAAGCCCACTACTATTATTTTCAGTATTTCTAGCTAATGATTATTAAAGATAATAAAAGTCGTTTCTTGTATGTCACTGCTAAACTATT